TGCAATAAAATAATAAATATAAATCATATTTGATATAATTAATTTTTTTCATTTAAAAAAATCAAATTACAAAACAATATCTTATTTTATTTATTTTGATATCCTTATATATATATGTATGTATGTATAGGCCAAATTAAATACAAACCGCCTAAATGTGATAAACCATACAAACCAATCTCAACCGTCCATAAAAATTATCAAATCAATGTCAACATGTGGAATAAATCGGTTCCGAAATTTACTCTCAACCTTATTTGTAACTGATTTGTAACTTCATCTATTGTGTAACATTTAGGCGGTTTTATTTGATTTATTATATATATATATATATATATATATATATATATATATGTTGGGTTCACGTGAGACCAAGGGGTTTTTGTGAGACCCGTATGACCAATTTATGTTCATTGATCAACTTTATAAGTTAATGATCTAACGGTCTAAAGTTGCCCGGTGGCAATTTTGTGGTTATTGAAAAGTCTCGTGGCGTTCATGAATGTTCAGATCTGACTATTGTAGATCTAATCAAAGGGTTGAGAATTGGTCTTACGGGTCTCATGAAAAAAACCTTTGGTCTCACATGATCCCAAGTATCTCTCTCTCTCTCTATATATATATATATATAGAGAGAGAGAGAGAGAGAGAGAGGACGTTTCAAATGCAACTCATCACATTTGTACAACCAATACAACCCAATCAATTAAAATATATTATGATACACTCAAAACTTTTAAGAAATCACATATTCATCAAATTAAATAGACGGTTGAGATTGATTTGTATTAGCTATACAAATATAAATGGTTGCATAATAATCTACCGCTCTCTCTTTATACATATATCGGTGTTTATAAAAATATTATTTTTACTTTTATTAAAAAAAGACTAAAATGATCCTTGGTTTAGCTAAGTTTACAGATTTATTTTATCGACATTAGGTAGATGAACCATGACCAAGACAAACATAATATCACAAGAACCAAATCCACAATAAACATACCGTAAGAACCATAATCATAGAAAACATCAAAACGCATCCATAATTAATTCACTCTAAACAAAATTATAATATAAAGTAATACTTGATTAACCTAACTAGTAAAAAAATAATCAAAAAACGAACCGTTTAACCCGAAAACCAAATAATAACCTATAACTATTTTGATTAAAATAAATCATTTAGTTTTGAAATTATTTACATCCATATGCTTTCAATCATCTAAATTTCAGAATCCCTACCACCCTTCTCGAGCTGTCTTTGTTTTTTTTTATTAACCTGGATATCCAACCCACTATGCGAGTCGATTAATCCCAGGATAACCACCTGCTTTACAGATAGTTCGAAGTCACCGCATTTGAACCTCCATGGCCACAAGGGAATTTTTATTCCTCCTTGGATTTGAACCTAAGACCTCAAAATACTTTTGATCTTTAAAACTAAGCTCATACCAATCAGACACCACCCTTATGGTTTCCCAAGCTGTCTTTGAATCCAATAAATAGAGCCATAATGTGTTGAAGTGATAAAATGACAATTTATTGCCTTTAATCTGGATCGTTGAAAAGTGAGGGAAATTATTGAGAATTTGTGGAACATATACGTGTACGTATCCAAATCTAGCTTTTTTGTCCCCTTGTGGTGGAGGTGAAATTCACCTTCTCATAGACACCATTTCCACCATCTCTCTCCTTCTATGTGGTTTCTTCTTCTTTATATACATACCAACATGTACGGAGCGCGTTGTTCTTTTGTTCTTCTATCATATCTCACAAATGATCAACACATCGCAACACGTAACTGAAGCATTTCAAGGAGATACGATATTCAAATCGCTTTTGATCTGATTCATCCAGCTTTCAGGTTCGTTTCGTTTATATTTTTCCATTTTTGCTATTTCGTTTATGTCATTTACAATGTGTAGATTCATTGTTGTTCGAGTTCATAGATTTTAAAAACTATCTGATTAGCATATCATATAAACACATACGATGATCTTCATTTTTTCAATGAACGAAAACTCAAAACCATAGAAATCTGTAATCTCGCATAGAAATTTGTAATCTTGCAGCAATGAATGAACAAATCATAGAAATCTGAATCTCGCATAGAAATCTGTAATCTCGGAATAATGAATGAACAAATCATAGAAATCTGAATCTCGCATAGAAATCTGTAATCTGGTAGTAATGAATGAACAAATCATATAATTCTGTAATCTCGGAATAATGAATGAAGAAATCATAGAAATCTGAATCTCGCATAGAAATCTGTAATCTGGTAGTAATGAATGAACAAATCATATAATTCTGTAATCTCGGAATAATGAATGAAGAAATCATAGAAATCTGAATCTCGCATAGAAATCTGTAATCTGGTAGTAATGAATGAACAAATCATATAATTATGTAATCTCGGAGTAATGAATGAACAAATCAAATCACTGAAATCTGTAATCTCGGAGCAATTGGAATGAGCAAAATATAGGAATCCGTTATCTCTTCTCGGAGTATAATGAATGAAGGAATTAAAGAAACCTGTTATCTCGGAGAATAGGATTTGGTGGGAATCGAAAAATCCACAAAGCTTTCTTCTTTATTTTTTAATATGATTCTATTTATTATTTGTTTAATATGAAATTAGTTTTATTATTATGACTATTATTGGTAAGAATCATGCAATATAATCCTATTGATTGTTAATTTTGTGGTGAAATCACTTGTTTATGTCATTTTCATAGTAATTGCTAATTATGAATTTCCAAATAATTAGAATCGATTCTAATAATGAAAATGAATAGATAATGACCGCTACAGAAGAAACGGACTAGGTTCTGTTGATAGGTATGATTAAGCCATCGATATGACGTCCAAACGACTAATTTTTGGATGGAATTTGCAAGTCATGTGTAGTTTTCATCTTTTATGTGTTTGTCTGCTTTGTTGTACCGGTCCCATTTCTCATCAACGACGGACTTAGAATTAGTTGCACCTTTAAGGTGGGTCAAAGATCCACAAAGTTTTCCGATGTATTTTTAGCTGAATTCTACCGTTTCGAGGGATTTTTAAATCTTTTTTGTTGACTTTGATAGACTATTTTTCCTTTGATTTTTTGCTTAATTTTGAGGGACTTTTTGGGTTTTGGTTGATTTCAGTAGACTCTTTTTCAACTTTTTGGTTAATCTTTTTTGTATTTTTCAAATACTATTATTTTATACATATTAGTAATTTATTTATTGGTGTTTTTAAAATTGTAAATTACATGTAAATAATTTAAAGTTTTATTAAAATAAAAAACAACATAAACAAAAATATGAATGATTTTGTTACAATTTTTATCAATGAAGTTTAAAGATACATACATATTGGAAGCATACTCGTGCAATGCAATGAGATACATCGTGATTTTAATATTTAATTTTATTATTTATCTTAGTCGATGTTATAATATGGCTTTATATGATTTTGAGAAAGCGATAATGTTTTTATTTTTGAATAAAATATATGTTTGAAGATATCATAAAAATTTGACAAAA